CCAAAGTTAGGAAAAATACTATTGGGAAATAACTGTATATGGTATTTGTGTTCCACTTTTTCCCAGCATCTTGCTCAAGAGCTCCTTTTTCCACATCTAGGCCTGCAGATGTTCTCGCGGTACCTATAAATTACAACTAGCTGGCAATTGCAATGCACAAGTGCAACTGTGAGGCTATGAGAGGAGCTTTGCGAAAATATTTATAATGCAGACAGCTGTAAGCAGTTATCGGCAGATATATCTGAAAAGCAGCACCATTCAGAAGAAAGCAGATGGGACAATACGGAGATGTTCGTACCAGGGAACATGAGCAGCAAGCACAAAGGCTCATTCCACTAGATGGCACCCAGCGCCAGCATCTCATTTTTGGGTGAACACCAGGAGAAAAATGGGTGACGTGCAGGAAAGCTGAACTGAACATAACCTCCCTGTACATCTCAGCTCAGGGAAATGAGAACTGCGGATGTTAGCTGGCTCCCCCATGGACCACTGAAAACAGAAGGCAAATGTGAGAAAAAAAAAGGTAGGGGTTTCTACCCTGAGTTTACCAAGAGGCTGTGAGAAGGCCGAAATAACAAAAAAGGAGAAATTAAATCTCTGCAGCAAATACCCATGCAGCGACATTTTCTCTTTCTTCTACCTTGGGCTTATTTTCACTTTTAAATAAGATCCCTTGAGTCTACGTCATTGGTATATATCAGCTGTCCTATAGAGAGCCAAATTGTGCTACTACTACTTATCTGGGGAGTTTACTTCCATGACAGCTCTCATAGAAAAATGCTGAAGTTCTGCAACCTCTATAAAATACCATTTGTGAATGTATCTGTTAAGGACATGTCCAAATTGGCTTGTCAAACTTATGGAGAGGTGGGAATGAAATCTGGAAAATGCTGGTATGAGCCCCTTTTGACTTCAGACACAGCCTGAATCTGGAGAGTCTGCAGAACATGGCAAAAATAATTAGAAATTTCCCTTTAAAAAGCAATTTATGCTGGCATTTTAATGTCATGTTATTTAAAAAGTGATGCCATAGATTAGATTAATTGGCTTCCTTATTAGTTAGCCTCAGCAGGGGTGTAGCAAGGGCATGAGTGGGTACAAAGCCTAAGCTGTCTGGCTTTCCTGATGAGGTAGATCATAGCTGAGGATGAGGAACAGGGTAGAGAGGGCACAGGGAAAGTCCCACTGTCACAGCCTGTTTTCAGGAGTGAGTCTCTAACGAGCAGGAGGGATATTGCGGAGGGGAGTGAGTTTGTTCACCAGCAGTCATGGTCTCAGCTGCTGATTTGAAGGTATGCTGAGGTGCCACCAGCACACACCGATGGCATGTAAAACTGGTGCCTACTTGCAGAAGAGGATTAATGCACGAAAACAGTTTGTAGAAATGGCAAAGGGGCTGTTGCTCAGTGTCAAAGACTTTCGTCACTCCTATTACTGTCAGGTAGAGGGCAAAGATGCTGCCTGTGGATTACAAATTTTGTTGTCATCAAAGGATCTGGAACATCAAACTGAACGGAACCTTGTGCTGTGTTAGTGTGCTTGGTCCTGTCCTCAACAATCTTCATCCACACACATCCATCAGAGCAATATTCCTGGGTTAAATATGAAATATATGATGAAGAGATTTTTACCCCTTCATCCAACAGGGGCTCTACTTTCAGCTGATGTATTTCATCACCTCATACATCACGTTGAGCTACTACACCTCTCTCTTCATGCCCCACCCTAAAATACACGCAGAACTCCAAAGGAATGATAAATGCCCTTCTTCCAGGGAAATGTTAATGTGCCACTATTTCCACCACTCACATGCACTATGATCACCTGAAAGATCAATGCAATTGTTACTGTACAATACGGTTTGCAATGTCTGGATACTTACTTACAGCCTAAACCACTTCGTAAACCATACCTATACCAACATGAAATGCAGCAATCCTTCCAACCCTCCTCCTGCCAATGGTCGCCTCATCCATCACTGTACCATGCTGTGGAGACACCAATGCCTAACACACCCGCCTGCCTTCTGGTACCCTCTCACTTTCCAAATCTTCCCCTTACACTGGATACTTCTCCTCTGACACATCCAGCCCTCCAACTGCCTGCATCGCTGCTCAACCGAACACGGCGAGCAAGGTGAAACATCACTGGGTGTGCAGTATAGTTGAAGCTGGAGGGAACAAGAAGCTGGTTGTCAGGGATGAAGATCAAACCATAGTAGCAAACTGCCTGGACCACTGTATTGTTAATTTTTAGCATTTCTAATACACACTATGCATGATACTTCTATTTTTTTCCACCTTTGTTTTGTCTGGAATAGAACTGTGCTGTCAATCAAGTGCTTTTGCTCTTAGCTAGGTTTCTGCAGATACAAAGCTTATCTGCTCATGCTGTGTGTTCATCCTGTTGCCCAACACCCTTTCAGTCCACCAGCTAATTGCAGATATATTGCCAGAAAGAAGGAGTTTTCAAAAATCAAACAAATCCAGTAAGTTCCTGGGGGGAAAAAAAAGATAAGCAAAAACGAAGACCAGATTGAGGGAGGGAAGGAAAGAGACTGAAGAAGTCTGGAGCGTGTCACACAGGGACACCAGAGCTTTGACATGGATGACGGTGAGAAATCTCCTAATTCCCATGTTCCCACTGTACATGGAAACAACTTAACCTCAAGCTCATGATTTTTGTGGTGAGTCAATCACAAGATACAAGCTGTAGGGAAGCAGGCTTCACAAGCTCCAGGGCTCACAGATTTTAAAACATGTATGTCTCTAGCACAGACTTCTTTTTACAGAGTATTGTTTCTCTGTTGCTAGGCAGAAGCCAAAGAAAGTTATTTCAGATTTTTGTTGTTATTGTTTGGGTTTTTTTGGTTTTGTTTTTGTTTTTTTTCTGGGTTTTTTGTGTGTTTTTTTTTCTTTTTTTTTTGGGGGGGGGTGTATGTGGACAAGTGTGCTGAGACAAATCCTTGAGGAACACTTGAACATAACTAGTATTTTTATGGGGGGAAAAAAAAGCTGAGAGATGTGTTTATATCTTGCCACTGAATCTGTAGTTCTCTATTGTTAAACCCACTGGTTACTGTACCAAAGAAATTGGATTGGAAAGAGGGCATGGGCCTTGAAATGTAAGTGTTTCAACATCTGACATCTAGGACTTTTGCCCTTAAAACATCACTTCTGTGCTAAACAGTGAGGTCCCCTGAGGACTGCCCAGTGGGAAGGCTGCTGATCCACTGTACACAGGCATAGTGGGAGCTGCCTACACAAAGCAGAAGGAAACCCTGAGCACACAGGCACGGCCAGGATCCTGCCTTCTCTCTGGGACAGGTGCCTGGCCCATGGGTGCAGAAATCCACAGGACTTTAGGACCTGCCTCAGTGTTTTTCTAAGTCAGAGACACAGTAATCTATTTAATACAGTGGTATGAGTGAGAAAGAGTGGATATAAACTGAAAGGGGAGCTTCAGACTGGCTATAAAGAGAAACTTTTTCCTCGTGATGACTGTCAGGCAGTGGGACAGGTTGCCCAGAAAGTCTGTGCAATCTCCAGCCCTGCAGGTTTTCAAAACCCAACTGCATAAAGCTCTGAGTAACCTGCTTTGAACAGGAGGTTGGAACTTGGAAGAGCCTTTCGAGTCTGAGTTACCTGGTGATCCTGTGATCACCCTGTGTATAAACCAAGCAGATTTTTTTAAACTTTGCAGGTTTCTCCAGCTATTGCAAGGATCCAAAACATCTACTACTGTGTTCAAAACATCTAATACTGTGTTCAGTTTTGGGTCCCTCACTACAAGAAGGACATTGAGCTGCTGGAGCATGTCCAAAGAAAAGCAACAAAGCTGGTGAAGGGCCTGGAGCACAAGTCTTACGAGGAGCAGCTGAGGGAGCTGGGGGTGTTTAGTCTGGAGAAGAGGAGGCTGAGGGGAGACCTTATCGTCCTCTACAACTACCTGAAAGGAGGGTGTAGTGAGGTGGGGGTTGGGCTCTTCTCCCCAGTTACTAGCGACAGGACAAGAGGAAACGGTCTCAAGTTGCGCCAGGGGAGGTTCAGGCTGGACATTAGAAATAACTTCTCCGCTGTTAGAGTTGTTAAGCATTGGAACGGGCTCCCCAGGGAGGTGGTGGAGTCACCATCCCTGGAGGTGTTCAAAAAAGTTTAGATGTGGTGCTTCAAGATATGGTTTAGTGGGTTTAGCGGGCATGGTGGCATCAGGTATACGGTTGGACTTGATGATCTTTGAGGTCTCTTCCAACCATAACGATTCTATGATTCTATGATTCTAATCAAAGCTAAAGAAGGATCCCCTCAAGCTAATTGATGCCTATATTAAACTCTGAGCCTACCTCAGTTAGTTGCTGGCTAGGGTTAAACCACGACATTTAGGTAAAGCAATATGCTTTTATTAAGTTTAGAAATGCTGTGTAAAGCCTATGTGGTGTTCTTGTTTGTCTGCACTTACCTCTCACTCTCTGAAAAGATAAAATACAGACCCAAAGACTCATAGCTTCAGTATAACTGTGAGTGCATGTACCTAAGCAGCATTGGGATCCTGGGAACAGACTACTGGTCTATCTGCCTTCAGATGAAATGCTAGAGAGAGCATTTGTATCAAGGGAACCTGCCAAAAGACCCAAAACTGAAGGGCGATGCCTCAATTCTAACCAAATTTAAGGCACTAAACAGTCCTGGATAGATCTTCTGACAGTGCTCTGGTGAGTGGCCAACCACAACTCTCAGCCAGATGCCAATGCATCTATATTCTAGCCAAAAACTTGAAATCTGGAATATGAAATTCTTGTAGTCTGACTCTCCGGGGAAGCTGAGTACTTCTGTTTCCAGACTATATCATCTTTTGTACAACACACAGCTCAGTGGATGCTGCAGCTGAATGCCAGACCATTGCAAAGGGATGTCACAGGAAACCATTTGTCACAATATACATTATTTTGCAGAATTCTTAATGGCTGAGTTTTAAAATGAAGACATTGAAAAATTGCTTACCCATGAGGTATTTTGCTGAGGACATAATATGCCGTATATGAATGCTGATACACCTGCAAAACAAAATTAAGAAAGAAAACAAAACAAAAAGAGATTAGTAATTGTCACCTCTGTTAATACGGCTCTTTTTCTGCAGAAACAATCTAGCATTTATGGCTAGGGAGCTCTTATAAATGCTTCAAAATCTATAGTAGAAAAGAACAATACATTAATTCACCTAACGGTGTTGTGTGTTCTTTTCATCTTGCACTTTATTACAGTGTTTGGCAAATCGTATACATCCAGATGCTCTGTGTCGTTGCCATGGCTACCAGGTCTTTGATTAAACTGGGGGCACATGGTCTCTGCAAGGGCTAAATATAGAACAAACATTAATGAGGACACCTTGATCAGCTGGAGACTTTCTCCATCATTATAACTAGACACAACAGGGATATAATGCATATTTTTTTGTTTTATCCCCACATAAATATAACATGGAGTGATGCTGGGTCTAAGACCCCTGTCATTCAGCAAATAAAACCTTATTGACGTAGGGCGTAAAGCTGACCTCGCATTTGTTTGACCTGCTAAGTTGCATCTTCATATCAGTTTGCACTCTTTGGGCCTTGGTGAGGAGCTTGTCTGCTTGCACGGCAGGTCATAACAGCAGGGAGAGTTTATTACTTATTTTCTAAGTAGTAAATAATAATACCAGAGTCAAGGTCATTGATTTAAGAGTTGATGATTCTCTGCTAGTGACAGTGCAATCTCTAACAGTTATTTGTGGTTGCCCAAGGTGAGCAATGCCGAGCAACACAAGAGTCAGGGCACTAGTGTGAAAGGTCTAAATATGAATGACCTCATACACATTTATACAGGCACTCACTTCTGCAATTCTGTCCTGTAACTGTATGCTACTAAATAAATAAGTCTCCTAACAATCATTTCGTTTGACTTCTATGTAAATCTTTAAGCCACTTGCTCTCCAGTAGCTCCCATAAAGCATCCTATCTCAGAGGACAAAGGATGAACTTCTTGAATATTTATTCACCAGTCAAGTTTGTCTGATTAAAATTTTTTTTCCTGAGTACCTCTGGTTTTGCACGATTATTTGTTTTTACTTATGCCAAAAAACCATGAGATGTCCTGGATGGTGCTGCCAGCCTCAGCAGTGGCCATCCCAAGCACATCACTAGCAACTCAGACAAGTCAGCATGGCTTACTATCCATCACTTTTAAGGACAAGCCTGCATAGTGGTGTCCGTAAAGGGTTACATCTTTCAGGGGCTCAGTAGAGAGAAAGATAAACACAAGGCAGATCATCCTGTAGGTATTAAAACAAACTTCTCTGTCACAATTTGAATCCAAACACTAAATCCTTACACTGCTGCATGAACACCCTGAAAAAAATCTACCATCAGAGTGTAGAGGTGAAAGCACTGATTTCTACCTATCAAATGCAGAGACTGATGCCAGATTGATGTGATTCCCTTCTTCCCCTGTGCAATTCACTCCCTTCATTACAAGGACATCATAAGGTTACATCCCAAACTAATATCTCCTTTTAGGCATTCAGATACATAAAGATTCCTCCAGCAAGGTGAGTCTCTGGTGTATTGATATCAGGGAAGGTCTAGGAATGTAAGTGAATTCACTGCAAGCTAGCGTTTATTTTAGTACAGGTGTCCTTTTTAGATTGACCTGTTTCTGATGATCTCAAATAAATTACCATTATCTCATCTACATCCAATCATACCAAAGAGCTTTTGAATCTTATAATGCTGATATTGGAGATCTGTCTGATGCATGTGGTCTTAGATCTTATTCCAGCTTTGGTGAAATTCTAAAAGTGCTAAAATTCCTTAAGCAGAAAGCACTGGAAGACTAAATTTATCTACAGAGCTGAAAAGCCTAATAATACATTGCCATTAAATGCTCAGCAACTTTTGTCTTCAAATATCCTAGCAGTAGGATGTCGAATATGATGTAGATATATGAATTGTGATCTGAGGTAAGGACTGGTGTTCAAGGTGACAAGCCATGCTGTGTTGTCAGCTATCAGAGGCAGAGGGAGAAGCCAGCCCCCAAAATTCCTATGAACAGATGCCTTCAGGGGAAAACAGAGAAATGTGGCAGACTGGAGGGAAATGAAACAGGGAAGTTTTGAGCAGGACATCTGCTGATGTCCTTGCTCATGGTACAGAGTCCCCATATCCATGCTAGAGAGTTTAGAGCTGTCTTAGAGCCATTAATGGAGATTGAGGTAAAACATTTTATTGGCTGAGAGAGTTTATGAGTGGGGAAAACAAAAGTTGTGGGATTCTCAAAGAACTCCTTTATTTTCTGAATATCATTTGTCATCCTCTTGGGTCTTTGGCCAGATTCTAAAATATCTCACATCAGCTGTGCCTGTAGCATGCAGTCTTCAAAGGCTTGCAGCAGGCAGAGTTCATTCACAGGAGCAATCCTTTCTCAAATAAATCCTTAAAATCAGTAGGTTTGCTCATGTAAAGAACTACTTGTATGACTAAAGATTTCAGGATCAGACATTTATTAATATTATTATAGTTCTTCAGGACAAGAGCACATGCAGCTCAAAAGTCCTTCTCATCTTTACTATTTCAAACCTCTTTGGAAAATACACTGAGAGCAACCCTCCTAAGCAGACAGGAATCCAAGAGGAACATTACTTAATGTCTTTCTGAGAAATGAAATGGCTGTTTTCCTCTTAGAGATGCAAACCAAATAGTTATTTTAACTTTTCAAAAGGGTGACTATGTCTGCTTAATATTGCAACTAAAATTACTGCTGGGGTCAAGTTGAACTAGGTTATTCACTTACCAGCAGGATAATCCCACACCAGGGAAAAGTGCAGGAAAGAGATGAGCATTCTTCTGAAATCCAAAGCTAAGCCTCAGAGACTGGACAGTGCTTAAAAATTAGTATTCATTTCATTTAACCTCTCTGTTTCTGAGGCTTGTCAACAAAAATAACCATATTAACTCTCTGTGTTCCCCTTTATCCAAGGGGTGTGGTAAAAGCCATTGCACTGATTCGAGGCTCTTAGCCCTGATTTTTGGCTGTATCCCAGAAGCACACAGCTCCTCTCAGTAGAGAGGCATATATGAAGGTAGCAGAGTTTTTGGCAATCGTTTTGTTCTGTAGATCCTGTGTGCCAAGTCATCCCATCAGCATAAGTTAGAACAGGTTTGAGACTGCTCTGAAGGGTTCTATATGTTACCGAAATTGGGTCAGAAAAGCTCCCATGCCAGCTGTGACCAATACATGCCATAAAAGTCATTATACTAAAATCTCTGTGCCAGAAACCCTCTCCCACTGGGCTTCTCATCCCAGGTCACAGCACAGATCTTGCTTATTTTCAATCTACATTATGCTCTGCAACGTGTGCATGTTTACACTGAAATCATAAAGGGTCTACGAGACGGATCTATCTGTTTCCACTTAGGTCTTGGAAAGGCAATGATCTCTACAAAATTCAGGAAAATACAGGACTAATTGTATATGACAATACTTTGTTGTGAAGCTGATGACCTCATTTTATGTAGTCAATGGAAGAAACCTGGACCAGACCAGATGACAGCAGAAATGTACACAGCAGTAAAGAATGCACATAGAAGCAGAAAAGAGCATCTGCCTCACCCCCACCACGAAATTCCAAAATAACAAGCAAATTGGAGTTCCCACAAGCTACAGAAACAAAATGGAAGAAGCAATTTCTGTGCCACATCACTGCAGAGCAAAGTATGGTGCAAATGGTAGAGTAACATCTCCTTGAAAGCACTTTTTTCACATCTCCAAGGATACAGGTCCTAGTCCAGCAGGGCTTACTTAAATAGAAAACATGTGTTATTTAAGAATAGAATGGATTTGGACTAATTTATTCATTATGACTATTCATACACTTTAAATCAGAATCCATAGCTCTTGTTCCTTCCCCAAAGCAACTGCACAAATACTTGAGATAAGTCCAAAAAGACATGCAGGATCCTGGTTACCTCCCTACATCTCGCCTGGTTTGTCACACAGACACAAGCTGGACACACAGAGCCTTCACCTTCATTAACTTCGTGTTCAAAGTTTGAAATTGTGACCATTATTTTTAATTTGGCACTGCCCGTGCAACACACAAAGGATTAGGGAAGTGTTTTAGATGGAAATTAGGGAATTTTTGGAAGGAGACTGTGAAATGTGTTTTCAGCATATTTTGGCTGGTATGAAAGTTTACACTACTTGCTGAGGATTTATCACTAACATCAGAGAAAAAGGAAGAGTTTATTTTACACTTCCATCTTCTGTGCCAGTTTCTGTCAGACTTTGTGGGCTGATACCATGCTAGCACCCTCAATAATCAGCATTTATCGAAAGGCTTTCTTTTATGTTCGTATGACAAGGTGCTGAATCAATACAAACAAGAGGCACATGCAGACTTTCTTTCAAGGAGGTTTACAAGCAAAGAAGAGGGGGAAAAGCCCTTAGAAGACTCCCCAAATCAGCCCAATCCTCTCATCTTCCAACGGGCTGTTCTATCAAAACAGCTAAGTTAGGGTCTTACTACTCAGCATATTAAACAGTTTGCAGATCTGAGATTAAACCCAGGTGGACTGACTGTCATGATCTCGTGATTATTATTTACGTGATAAATACAGGAATAAAACATCCTTTGCTCCATTTTCTAAATTACTCCTTAGAGCCACCTGGTCCTTCATGCAGTGGTGTTATGTACATCAAAAATTATTTAGAAAACTCACAAAAAATCCCATAAAACTTGTTTGAAAGGGAACAGCTACAGGGCAGAGTAGGAGTGCAAGCTGTGCTATAAAGCAGTTTGCAAGGCTTAATACAAAATTTCTAGTATTTAGTGTCTTTCTTCTTTTTCAGAAATCACACATTTCCTCTAAAAAGTCATCCCAGTGCCCCCAGATAAAAATGAACACTCTAAATAGTTACCAGAAATAAAACTGTACAACAGTTGGCTAAAGTCTGAAAACAGCAAGAATATATTTTAATGTAATTAATCATAAAGCATGTAGTAGTTATCTGGGTAAAAGGA